AAGCAGTCAAAGTCGCATCTTTCCGATCTGACCGAAGCCTTTGGAGTGCTACGCAAGTATCAAATGAAGCTCAATCCGACCAAGTGTGCCTTTGGAGTCTCCTCGGGAAAGTTCCTTGGTTTTATGGTAAATAACTGTGGGATTGAGGCTAACCCAGAGAAGATAAAGACCGTGCTCGAGATGGAGGCGCCCAAGACTCTAAAACAGCTTCAGTGCCTCAATGGCAGGATTGCAGCCTTGAATAGGTTCGTGTCAAGATCAACGGACAAGTGCCTTCCTTTCTTCAAGTTTCTCAGGAAGAAAGGGTCGTTCGAATGGACAGTAGAGTGTGAGCAAGCATTAGAGCAGTTGAAAAACTATCTATGCTCGGCACCTCTACTTGCAAAACCATTGCCAGGAGAGAAGCTCCACTTGTACCTGGCAGTATCTGATAACGCCGTCAGCTCGGCACTGATCAAGTAGGAGGGTGCGAGCCAAAGCCCTATTTATTACACCAGTAAGGCCATGACTGAGGCTGAGACCAGGTACCCTCAAATGGAGAAGCTGACCCTCGCTTTAGTCACCTCGACCCGAAGACTTAGGCCGTACTTCCAGGCGCACACTGTTATAGTACTTACAAACTTACCCCTCAAGAATGTCTTCCTTAAGCCTGAAACATCAGGGCGTCTGATGAAGTGGGCATTAAAGTTGAGCGAGTAAGACATCCAGTTCGAGCCCAGAACCGCGTTGAAAGCGCAAGCAGTGGCAGATTTTATCGCAGAGCTCACTCCACCACCTCATTTGGCCAAGTCCGACCTCCCGTGGATGATCTACGTTGATGGATCTTCCAACGAGAGGGGGTGCGGGGCAGGAATCCTCTTGCTCGCACTAGGAGGTGAGCAATTCGAGTATGCTCTACGATTCAACTTTCGGACGTCAAATAATGAGGCCGAGTATGAAGCACTCCTAGCAGGCCTGCGCGTTGCCAAAGGGCTGGGGGCCAACCACATTAAGGTCTTTAGTGACTCCCAACTAATTGTAAATCAGATTAAGGAAGAGTACCAAACGAAGGATCCCCGAATGGAAAAATATCTAAGCAAGGTCAGATCACACCTCGCCCAGTTCGAGACTTACGAGGTGAGTCAAGTTCCAAGATCTGAAAACTCTAATGCGGATGCCTTAGCTAAATTGGCATCAGCGTATGAGACCGACCTGGCTAGATCGGTCCCGGTCGAGATCTTGGACACTCCTTCAATCTAGGAGCCAGATGTAATGGAGGTTGATACTTCATCACCCACTTGGATGGACCCAATCGTGGACTTCATCAAAAGAAACCCACCGCAAGATCCGAAAGAGCAAAAGAAGATGGCGCGAAGAGCAGCTCGGTTCACACTCCGAGAAGGAATATTGTACCGACGTGGCTTCTCCCTGCCTCTGCTCAAGTGTGTGATTCCCGAAGAAGACCTTTACATTCTTAGGGAAGTTCATGAAGGGGTGTGTGGAAACCACTCTGGCGCCAGGTCGTTGTCGGCCAAGGTGGTTCGACAAGGGTACTATTGGCCCAGTGTCGAGCAGGATGCAAAGCAGTTTGTGAAAGCTTGTGACAACTGCCAGCGTTTCGCAAACATTATCCATCAACCTCCCTAACTGCTCACCCCCATCTCGGCCTCATGGCTATTTGCGCAATGGGGGGTAGACATCATAGGTCCTTTTTCCTTTGGGCAAAGGACAAACAAAGTTCGCCGTTGTCGCTGTGGACTACTTCACTAAGTGGGCCGAAGCCGAAGCACTATCCCACATCACAGAGTCCAGAGTCACGTCATTCATATGGACAAACATCGTGTGCCACTTTGGCATACCCAATGCTATTGTGACGGACAACGGAAAACAGTTTGACAATGCAAAGTTCAAGGACTTTTGCAGAAAACTGAGTATAAGCCACCTCAGTTCGTCCCCTGCGCATCCAAAAGCAAATGGGCAGGTTGAAGC